TCTTTTATCTTCTTCATCATTCTGCTCAACTCTATCTCATCAACTTGCTAAGCACTTTCTACAAGAATGAAAGAATTTTGTTGAAGAAAAAAATTATTTTTCTCCTTCTCCATATTCATTCAGTTAAGTTGACGAACTTTCAAACTTTTGCTGTTATTGAAGGCATTTACATCCTCCAAAAAATGTAACCAGAATATTGATATTCAGCACACAAAAAAAAACGTTTTCCTTCTTCTGCTCCAGAAAATTCATTCATGAACTGCTCGATGATGACGTGGATCGAAAGAAGATCCTCGTTCTGCCCTCCATCTTCTTCTGCTCAACGAAAACGAAGATGCGAACGACGGTTGAAATGAAAAATAAAATTAGAAAGACCTGACCTTTTAATTTTCTTATCAAAAACCAGCGAACAAACCAGAAAAGCAGAACATCATCATCATGTGGATCTGTGTATTGAAGCTGTCCTAGAGCTTCTACTATCACAGCTCATCTCATGAACTCTTCTTCACTTATATTTTATATTATTGTTGTTGTATAGCTTTATGAAGAAGAGAAAAAGAAGAGTTTCATGAATCCACAGAGTAAAGAATCAGCCCAAAATGAATGAATAACTTCAAATAAGATCTATTTTGTTAGCAAAAAATTCGCTGCTCCCTTCATATGCAAATATTTTTTTTTAAAAGTTCAAGTGATGACGGCAAATTCACGTCAAAGTTCACGTAGGGGTTATGCTAATGATGGCTTCATTTTCCTTAATGCAATCAAACAGCACGGTCGATCTTATTTTCTTCTTCTCCAAACTATTTTTTTTCTTATTTTTCTATTAGACTCCTTTTTCTCCGTCTTCTTCGTATTCTGCTTATTCTGCTTCTGCTTCTTCTGCTGCATCTTCTGCTGCTTCTTCTGTTTCTGTTTCCATCAAAAAGCTTATGCTTGACTGTCTTTTAGTTGTTTTCTTTCTCTTTTTCATCTCATTTTACTTATTTTCTTTTATTCTCCTAACAGGTTGACACTTAGAACTATTCAAATACAATTATTATAATTTTGTATTCATATATTTGAATTAGGAAAACGTTCTTGTTGTCCACAATCTGCTTCATGTACAAATCAACTGCATCTCATAAATTATTTTTTTCATTTCAAGAATTAAACCTTTCATTCCGTTTTATTAGAAGCTTTCTCGTTTGTCGCCCTCATCGTCATCGTCATCTATGGGCATCATCATCATCCTCATCATCATCCTCATCATCATCATCATCATCATCTTTGTAGATTCTTCTTTTCATCAAATTGTTGTTGACAGTCATTAAATCTTTTCATTTCTCGTATAAGTTTTTTCATTTGAATTTTGTTATTTTGAGTTAAAATTAAATTTTTTTCCTCTTTTTCCAGGTATCAACAAGAGAACAAAGAGAAACTTCATCTTCTTGCCAAAAGTTCATCATCATCATCATGGTCTGTACTGATGAACAATTTTATTACAAGTAAGCTTCATCTACAGCATTTTCTTTTTCGTCTTCTTCGTCTTATTCTTCATTGACACGTTTTATTCTGGAAAAAAAACCGAATGTTTTCATTTCTCCAAAAAAATGTCTTTTTTTGACAGTTTTTTTAAAATTTATTAAGAGAAAAGAAATGACATGACATGCACGGTTTTTGTGTCTGTGTGCAATGGCATCATCTTCCTCTCACACATCATCTAATGATGATGATGATAAGTTTCATAAATATTTCACCGTTTTGGGTGACTTTAAAACATCGTCAGCTCTAGCCTGAATTAGATTGTTTATCATTGCTTCTTCTGCTGAAAAATCATTGTCCGTTTCCAAAGCTCTGGACAACTTTGTTATTCTTCATCGAAATTTCTTTTTCTTCAACTTAAACTCTCTTTCTCTCTTGCTCTTTCATTATCCTTCTATCTCTACATCTCCTCGTCTATCTCTCTCTCTCTCTCCCTTATCCAATGTTTATTTTTACCTTTCCTCTCTTCAGTTTGTTGTTAACAATTAATAAGAATGAACGAAATTTGATTAATTCACTTAAAAATAGAAGAAAGTCAATATGCTAATTACTCATCTCTTCGAATTTCACTTGTAAACTGAGCTTTTGTCTTTCCCTCATGCAATTCTTGCACTCATCCTTACAGCCTCTCATAGCTCTTACTCAATAGCTAATGGCATTCCAATGAAGAAGTTCAAATGTCAGTGTAGGTTGACAACTCTTTTGTCGTCAAAATGCATTGTCACAGGATTTTTTTCGATTCTTCAAGTAGCCAAAAGAGTAATTATTATGTGAGAATATGCAGAAGGAAGACAATTATTATTAGAAGTTGTCAACATCTGAAACTTCTGAATCTGTGTCTATGAAGTTTGGTGGAAACAATTGAAACTCATCAAATCCCAATTACGGACTTAATTAAAGCTTCAATCTTTAATCAAACATCAGACAAGCGTGAGGGCACGAGTAGCCGCAAACTCAAACACGTTGGGATATGAATCTACGACAACGCTTTCAACTTCATCTTGAGTTTTGAATCGAATGCTCAATCTTGACTTCAACAAGTCATTTCAAGTTTTTATAAGAATGCTGGTCCTTTTTGGAGCTCATACGTAGGAAGGAAATTCCGTGTCAACTGATCTATAAATGAAAAACTGGAGTAATATCTGTCTCTCTCTCTACCTCACATCTACTCTCTCTATGTTACTTTCCCTCCTTACTCAATGTTGGTTTTTCCTTGAAATCAGGTCAAACGAAAAGATACTTTTCAATTTTTGATTTTTGTCCTTTTCATTCACAATATTTTTAAAATTTCATCGGAAAAGTTTGAAAAAGAAATTTTTTCTGCTTCAAGTCTATAAATCTTTGAGATTAAAAGGATTTTTGAAAGAAAAAAGATCAAAGGAAGCGACGTTGAATATTAGAGTTTTCAATAAGTTTTCAAACATAATTAGGATTTTTTGAAAGAGAGAAGAGTTAATTTACCAGAGTATTGTATGTCAACTAGCAAGCTCTCTCTGACTCTCCTTATAGCCACCCCCTCAGTCATCTTTTTCTCTCTTTAAGTACTTCGCATACATAGATAATACCTTCTTTCAGATCCCACAACACCCTTACTTCTTCTCCCTCTATCTCTCTCTCTCTCTCTCCCTCTTTTACTTTCTCTCTCTAAACCCCCTAAATAGATGGAAAAACACTGTTTTCCACAGAATTGTTTTGAATCTGTTCTCTTCACCCCTTCTTGCCTTTGCTATTGTTGATTTCCCTCTCTCTCTTACTCTCCTCTTTCTCAGATCATCATCAGTTTGCATACTATTTTTTGCACAAATTTTGGGGGGCATTGCTTCATTGGTCGTCATCTATCATCAACAGGGCTTCTGTGATTTTGTTGCAAAAAATACGAGTAGAAGATCAAAGAATCAAAATGATGATCCACATACGATACTTTGAACTTGCTGACTTATGGCATCTTACCAATTTTCGGAACTTGCCATTGCCATCCTTTCTTTTCCGACTGCATGCAGTATCTAATGAATTCCTCTCTAAGGATAATCTTATGAACGAGAAAAACAAGGTGTAAATCCATTATTCCAGTTTCATTTTCGTTTTTTTTTGTCATAAAGAATCTCTTTTAAATAATTTTTTGGCTTTGTCTTTGAACTTGTCCTTTGGAAGAAGAATTCCTCTAAATCCTCTGTTTTCTTCGTTAAGTCATGGTAAAACTCCTCTTATGCTTCTCCGTTCTCTCCCACATGCTGTTAACTTTCAAACATTTCAATTTCTACTCAAAAGCCCACACACCTTAAGACAAAAAAGAAACGCTGAAGTATTTGAATGAGAAAAAAGAAAACCTTGGAACTATTAGGAAGTGAGAGAGAGACAAAAAGATGGAAAAGAGTGAAAAAGAGAGAGAGAGAGAAGAAGTTAAGAGGGCGAAGTCTAGTGTCCTCCCACCATTGGACATTTAGTTCCCCAATCTTCCAAATCTCTCATTCAAAGAATTTTTCAAGCAACCTTAGCCAACTGACTTAAACGAAATTCAGAACTTACTACATCCAACACCACAAAACGTTTAGCTGACTTCCATATTTGGCTGAACCCAAATGAAATGTTCAGCATTTTTTATTTTTTTAAATTTTCAAAGTTGTTCCCATTCTTTTTGGTTGTTTCTCCATTTCCATCTTCGTCTATTTCTTGTTCGTCTTCTTCATTTCTTCAGAATTTTTTTTTGTGTGTTGCTTATGCGACCTTCTTTATCAAATCTGATCGGGAAATAATGGCAAAATAGCATCTGAAGAAGGAAAAGCGAGAATTAATCGTTGACACGACATAGGAACGTCTTTCTTCTACTGTTTTTGCAATTTTTTTCGTCATGACCCACCATTTATCTATATTCTTCATATGAAGGAGGAAATGAGAGAGAGAGAGTGATAGAGTGAGTGATAGAGAGGGAAAAAGATTGGATAGGAGAGAAAGAAAATTGAAAGAGAGGAGGAGACAAATTGAGTGACAATGGCCCGTTTACAGACTAATTTTTTCCCAGATATCATTTCATTTTGTTGCAAATTTATTCGATATACATATGTTTGAGTATTTGATGCTGTGTTCCTTTCTCTCTCTCTCTCTCTCTCTGTTACTCTCGTTCATCCCAAATTTGTCAAAACAGCTTATCAAATTTTCGTTTTTTTTTTAGTCGTTGTGAAAGCTTCGAAAGCTTTCAATTCAAAGTTATATCTTGTCTTGTTACATTCTATGTTTTGACCTTTTTAAGAAAAAAAGGAGAAAAAAAAAGAATTTATAATACTTAATGTATAAATTTGAATGTTTTTTTTGTAAAGATCGAAAAACAAAATATTTTTTGCAGTTTCTCTTACCTCTTCTCAATCTCTTGAATAATCTCAGAAACGATTTGAATATCTTTCTTTCTCTTCTTATTTTTTATATATTTTCTCTCTCTTATAACATTCATTACAATCATTTGTTCTTTTTCTTTTAAGTTTTAAATGAAAAAGGATTTCACCTCTTTCACATCAGAAGACTTAGCTATTTGGTTGAATTCACTAAGGTGAGAGGATGCTTCGATCTCAGCATTACACACACATGGCCTCCATGAGAGACACACAATCAAAATGAAAAAAAAAAGAATTTTTTTATTTTTTATTTTATTTCAAATATGGACTTAACATATGCAAATTAATTTTTTCTTGTTTCAGTTGTGTGCTTGTTGTCTACGTCGAACCAATCCTCTGTTCTATCGGATTCTTATTAAACTGTGCTTGTATTGCTGTATTTCTAAGGTTTATACGAATCATCCACTTCCTCATTGCTTTATTTGATTTTTAGTGTTTCATCTCATGGATATTTCCGAAAAACATCTTTACTTACATATCTGATCGCATTATCAGCTTGTAATGCTATTCAACTTCTATTTTCTGTTTTTGTCATCGTTCTTCCGGCCATGGAACAGGTTCCTTTCACATTAATTAGGGTAAAGAATATGTTTTGATAATTTGAAGTTTATTGGGGAAGAGCATGCTGAGCGCGCTACCAATCTACGAAGTATTAACTCCAAAACTGTTCGATTAGGCTATCCATTGCTTCTAGCTGCTAATTATTCAGCTATATGGTTATTAGCTTTGACTTGTGCTCAAAGATATCAGGTTGCTCTTTTACATTATTATTTGAATAAACTTCATTTTTTGACCCTATTTAAGGCTATATGTCATCCATCAAATCCATGGAAAATGCGTTTGAGTTGTGTACGACGTAGCAAAGCAGCTGTGACTTTCGTTGTAACTGTGGCCATAGGTTAGATGATTGTGGAACATGAAATTGAAAATGAAAAATTAATTTAAGCTCTAAACATCATTCGATTTTGGGAACTTGAATGGAAAGACGACCAAGGAATTGTTGTAAATTCCAAATTAAGGTGCGTATGAAGCAATCACAGCATGTACAACCATCCACATATCCCTATTTACAGAGATCATATTTTATATAAAATTATTCAAGAAGGGCTTGTATACGGAGTTATAGTTTATGGATTACCTATATGCTTACTTATTTGGTTAAATAAAAATATAATCCAATTGATTCACTCAGAGCAGGTATATCCTCAAATCTCATTGCGAATGAGTTAAGCTTGTTGTTGAAGATTCATGTGCAGCCGTCTCGTCGTTCAGCAGAATATCGAACAGCACTGATGACTGTTTGTGTTTTTGTTGTTTTTTTCTTATGCACAACATTATCAGCTTCAATAAGATTATTCATGTGAGTTTTCCATTCTCCATTATCTTCTGGATTAGAGAACACCGTGTCTGGCATCTGCATCGCAGTCTGAAATTTCCTTTTCCGGCTATGACGTTCAGCTGTTCAAGTCCTTTCCAACTATTCAAATATTAAACAAATATTTTGTTTCATAAAAGAAAAAAGAAAAGATATAAATCATCGACAATTTCCGTTCACACCCAATCATTCTATGAATATTAAATAAATAAAAAATAAAATATTCATTTAAGGATCGTAGCCGGCGAAGTTGTGGACGCTGTCGATCTCGTTTGGCTTGTGGATTTATCAAATTTATTAATGAATATTAATGCTTTAATAACTCCAATTATATGTTTTGTATTCACACGAGGATTTAAGGTTTATCAAACAAAATAATTTTTTTTTCAAAATTTTTAAAAATTTTCAGGATTTGTTCTTCGTCATACGATTTGCTCCAAAGCTATCAATAGAGAAAGTTGACTATTTCCATGTGCCGTCACAACATCAAATGCTGTCGGCTGAATACAGAAGTGATCTCATCTGATGATCATCTCTCATAACAACATATCCAATCTTACTCACACAAATTTTGTGAGATCTCTTTCTTTATCTCAATCTCGATGTAGCTTTATACCTTTCTAGTCAATCCCTCCTTCCTAAAATTATCTTTTTGGCTCCCTGTTCATATCTTTTCCTCTATCTATCTATCTCTATCTCTCTCTATCTCTGTATGTTTGTTTCTCTTTCTATTTCTGTCAAGCTTCAGATGAACTTTTCATTCACTTCCCGTTCCTAATTCAGATTCTTCATTATCACCTTCTATTCTCACCCTCTTCCATCTCATTTCCCCTTCCCCATCACTGATGTTCAGTTATACCTCTTAACTCATTACATGATAATGCTCATTCAATAAAATTATTTAAACTTTACTTCATACAAGGCACATAAAACATTTATAAAGCAGACTATTTTTGTTTTATAGAACTCTTTACAAGATATTACCCGAATTACATTTGAATTTTCAAGAAAAAAAAGAAAAGAAAAAGTAAATGTACATTGAGATCAACCCATAATCATCAAAACGTTTTGCTTTTTCTTCTTATATAGAATAGCTAAGCATCGAAGAGATTTCGAAGAATCATCAGAAACCTTTCAAGAGATAGTTCTTAAAACTATTCAGCCGTTCAATAGAGATTAAACAACCTTTTTTGAGCTTTTCAAGGCAGACAAGGCGACAGAGTATCAAATTAAACATATTCCACATGGTTATGAAGTAAATCTATTGGCTTTCGCTTAGATAAGCGTCCTATCGTCCTTCTGAATCGTCTTTGAACATCAGATTTGTACTCTGGGGAAGACAGATAGTATATGAAGAAGTTTGCAGTGGCATTAATGACCACAAGAAAGTTGCCAACATCAATGAGAATAGCTTCATGTGACACAGGCAATGTACTGAAGAAGAACGTTTGTTGAAACTCTAGTTAGTCAGCAAACTCACATATGAAACATTTCGAAGATGTTAACCAGTAGGGATGTAACATTACAAGCTAAGAATAGAAATATGACTAGTAGTAGAACGGTCGTTGAACTTTGTTCTTGAGCTTCAGAACAATCTAAACCAAATTATATTTTTAATAAATTGAAATATATAAGTTATTTATACCGCTTTTTTCAGAATCTTGATTACGACGAAGTATGGATAGAATTCCAACGGTTAGAATTGATAATAAGACAAAGGGGATAAAAGCCATTGATAAAGCATACATGTAACCCCTGTAAAAGATATTTTACAATCATCATCATGCTATTTTCCATTCATCACACAGACACACAGTTGTACACATGCACGTGTAGAAGACATGCGTGATGATTTGATATTTTCATATTGTATGAGAGTGAGAGAGATGATTGAACTCACTTATAAACAACAACATAAGCTTCACTGACTCGTAATTCTGTTGGGCATAGTTCATATAAAGTGAAATTATCTGGATGAAGACATTCAATTGCCTTAAATAGAAAAATAATAAATATAATAAATATCTATAATTTACTTGTAAATCTCCAAATTGTACGAGGTTATAAAAAGCAACGATTATGACGATTACAGCTAATACACGAGGGGCCCATATACCTCTGGCTGTTGTTACAGATGTTCCTCTATACATTTACAAAATAATATTTTTAAAATATTTTTTTATATCGAAATACCTGTAGACAGAAACGAAGCAATCAAAAGCAGCTAATACGGTAATATAAACTGATAACATCTTAAAAAGAGAGAAATAATTTTGTTTTTCTAAATGTAAATTGTAACAAAAAAAAAAGAAAGAAAAATAAATAAATAAAAGAATTTCTGTTTGATTGCATGAATTTACCTGAAAAAATAAGCCGAGTGGAATAATTTTGGGTAAAAGAAATACAAACAATTGATCAACAAAGAAGGAATGAGCTCGTAATGAATCGGAGCAAATCACAAATATTCCAGCCATACAAACTCCTGAAACACAAACAATTCATTTCCTTCCTTAATTGATCGTCTTAATTGTTCCATACCGACGTCACTACATGATAAAGCCGTTAGATACTTGGCTGCTGTTCCTCGTTGATCCGAAAAGACTGTTATGTTGATGAAATTTAAAATGATTCCAAGCAGGGATATAACTGGCAATATGCATACTATCATAATCTGTAAAATCAGTTTAATACATTCCCCTTTCTGTATTGGTGAAGCCTTCTAATCTTCATCTTTCTCTCTCTCTTTTCCATTTTTAGTTTTTGAAGCTTCAAACCTTCCAACTACATCATCTCATCATCTAATTTCAAAAATAGAAACACTTTCTTATTTATTTATAAAGATATAGCTATTTATATAACTATAATTCAATGTAAACAGTTATCTCTCAGCTAAGACAATTCAAATAAGAAATTATTTTTTTACCAAATTAGCCGTTCCTGCCACTCCATCTGTTGGCTCATGCAAGCATTCACATCCCCGCATAACACATAAACTGTGTCTTAAAAGGTTGAATGTTCAAAGAAAATTAAAGAAAAACGAAATTAAAAAAGCAAAAGCAGACTAAAGTATGAAAGACTAATTGAAAAAAAAAAGAAAAAAAAAGTAAAATTTAATTATTTGGTGTTGTAAAGAAAATAAAATAAAATTTAAAATAAATTGAAAAAAATAATAATATTAAAGATGGAATAGAGAGAGAGAGAGGGAAAGAGATTAGAAGAGAGATTAGCAGAGAGGTAAAGAAAGAGAGAGATAGAGAGAGAGAGAGAGAATGGCGGAAGATGTGGATAACTTAACAGGAAGTTCAAGCCATTCAATGTTTGATGAAGAAAGGGAAAATATTTGAATATTAAAATTCCCTTATAATAGAGTAGAAGGAAGATAAAGAGAGAGAGAAAGTAATGGATGAGGGTAAGAGGGAGTAACGGAAGAAAAAAAGAAAATTGAAAGATGTACATAAAGTAAAAGATCTGTGAATCGAGTGTGAAGTAGCATGCAAAAAGCATCTTTTGCAACTAAAAACTTTTTTGGAAAACAAACAAACCTCTTAGACTGACGTAAAGAGAAACTAACGAAAATAGTAATTTTCATGAAAGATTTAAACTTATTTCATATAAATTTTAGATCCGATTAGACTTTTTCATTGATACCAAATGATTTTTTTATATTCAAATGCATGATATGCTTAGAAGTACTCTGTGCTCTGTCTTCACACACCACACACACACACACACACATAGAAGCTGAAGCTGAGTTAATAATAAGAGAATAGCTTATAGAGAGATTGTATGAATATACTCTACCTTCATGAAATGAATAAATCAAAACAGTACTCTTACTCAGAAACAAATGAAATATTCCTAATTGAACTAATTCTCTTCAACTTACTATATCATATATGTATATTTGCTAATTAAAAATTATTACGTATGAAGACGCCGACGCCTTCTTCACGTGAAACTTACTTATTCAGCTTTGATGGCTCGCATTGAACGGTTGCTCTTTCATAGATCTCTTTTTCTTTTCCTCTTTTTCTCCTTTTTTTTTCTCTTAGCTTCTTCTTTCCCTCTTTCTTATTCGCATACATCTCTTTCATTTCCTCGCTCACGTTCTCGTTTGCGTGTTTCCCTCTCATGGTCGTCTTTGAAGTTTTATTAAAAAAAAAAGAAAGAAAGATGAAAGTTTCGATTCAAATGGTTTGTTTGTTCATCATGTCATCTATACTTTACAATATCACTTTCTAATTAAGCAACAACTCGACGAATCCCATAAAGATTAGCTTCATCCAAATTAATATCAACTATGAGGGGGACTTCTTGAGCGGAGATGAGAAAAAAAAGAATTTTTTTTTCGTACTTCCTCATGTACAGAATATGGAATTCTTTTATTTTTTTAGGAAAATCCACTTGAGTTGGAGAGTTAAGGATGTGCCAAATACACTTGTAAAATAAATTATTTAAGCGTAAGAAGGATGAAATGCAATGATCATGTTCTGTAAGCTTGAAAATCATTAGGAATATTATAATTAACAAGAAGAGGAAAAAATGGAGACAGCGAAAGCTTTATCTTCCTTGATGGAAACAATAGAAGGCCAACATGATATTTGTAAATGTCAATAACAGTTCCTCAAAAGGATTTTTACGTGTACGAATGATGTGGCCTGCAAATCCAGCCATGACTTCGTCTGTGTTTTCTTTTTTTGTCCAAAATATCACCCAAAAACTAAGCTCAGTAAGCTGAGGCTACTTTACAAGATTCTTCTCAAACAGGAAAAAAAATTTTTTGAAGCGTTTTCTTTCATGTTTTTGGTCATTATTAAGAAAACGAAGGAGGAGAAGAAGAGAGAGAGAATGGAAAAACAAATTTAGTTCTTAACCTATAAGTGTTAATGAGGAAACAAAAAAATTTTGTAAAAGCAACATAATTCATGAGGTGAAAAGCTAAGTAAGCTTAGAAGATACACATTTAGGGTGATCTTTGTAAGAAGTTAATGACTTTGATTGGCATGAGATGTTGTGACGACACGAACGAAATCAATTTAGATGATGAAAATGATTCAGAAGGTCATTATGATGATGACGTTGCCTAAGCTGTCTTCTAGGATGACAAAAAAAAATAAATGACATAAAGCTGAAACAGATAGTGTTTGACAGAGAGAGAGAGACACGACTTGAGATGTTGTCTGATAAAGATCCTCCCAAATGAGCTCTACATGATACTCACATCACGTCAGATCAAACAAGTTTCTGACAAAAAGAAAAGTTGAAACTTTTCTTGCTCAAAGAGAAAGAGAGAGTGAGAGTGAGTGAAGACAAAGAAATAAAAACAAATAGAGAATGGCCAAGTAAAGGGTAAAGATTTTCATAAAGGAACGAAGAAGTTATGAGAAAAATGGCTTTATGCCAGACTGAAACAACAAGTAAACAGACTTGTCTGAACATTCTTTCCATATCTGCCATTCTTATTAAATGAACTTCGAGTGGAAGAGAAGGAGGAGAAGCTGAATTATGAAAGAAGAAAGGAAGAGGAAAATGAAATAACGAGACGGATGATCCGTTTCCAGTGATATCTCCATCTACATACACGTATATGAGAATATTCTTGTATTAACATCTATTACAATCGGATAAAGGAAACGTTCATGAAAGAATGAATTCTTAATGAAAAGCAGGAAAATTTTCTTTTTTTTTTTATAAAAAAGAACTAAAAAGATCACGACGATTGGAAAACATTTGCAAAAAAAAGAAAAAGGAAAACACAAACAATTCATATTTCTTTCATCATCTGCTTCATCAGATGCTCCAATATGCTTTAAACGATATTATTATTTCTTTGGAGAACTTTCAGATGCTAACAACTATTCTCTTTTTGAATGCTTCTTTTTAACTCTTAAAGCTTGCTTTTTGTTAACACAAAAATTCTTTTTGTTCAAAGTTAGTTTGCCGATCTCGACCTCAGCAGGTGGTCCAAACAAGCTTTTGCTTGCTTTTTTTTTAATCTTCTTCTTCTTCTTCTTTTCCAAAAAGTTAAAAAAGCTTATAAGGGAATGGTCTTCGTTCTCTCTCTTTCTCATGACCCTCTTCACCTTTACATCTATTACCTCACTCCATACACTGCTCAGACATGCTAATTCCTTTTTTTTCTTTTATTTTTTTGTTCAGTCCCGTCAGCTTCGAGAAAGAGAGAATCATCTCCCTTTATCTTTTGAACAGAAAAAAAAGTTTTATTTTTCCGTGTGTTAAACGGAAGAGTTTACGTCAATGAATGAAACTATTGGTTTTCTACCACAAGAAAATCCTTTTTTTTTCTTTTCTTTTCTTTGCTTGGCTCAATTTGAGTTTAAAAAAAGAAAAAGAAAAACAGCTTTTAATTGTTGAAATGTAGGACGTTGCACGAGTAAAATGTCTTAAGAATCTGATTATTTTCACACAAAAATTTCAGTGAAAATGAGGAAGAGGCAAAGCAATTTCATTGAAATGAAGCTGGTGGGGTGATAAAGAGAGAGAAAGAGAGAGAGATATGTGGTGGAACAAGAGAGATTGTTTATTTAAATGAAAAAAATGGAAGACGAAATTGAAAATCACAATGAAATATGAATAATTCTAATTAAACAAATTCTTTGTAATGTTTCTCATTCAATTGTTATGATTATGAGAGAGAAAACAAAAAATTAATTTGGCTGAAACAACGTTGTCGTCGTCGTTGCCTCTTCAGACATCCAAACTCTTAGATGTGACAAATTCAATTTTCTTGCAAAAAGATTTGCTTATTTGGTCTCGTGGAGAAGAAGATCAAAAATGAAATCTTCGTGTACAAAAAAGTCAATTTCTCTCTCTCTTACTCTTTCTATCATATTCATATTTATGTGGATGCATGTGTGTATCTGGTAAGGCTGTCGAGCATGAAGCTGAAAATGAAGCCATATGGTGCCCACGCAAGAGGAGAAAAAAAAATATTTTATGGCACAAACCATATTTGGAGATAAGATGAGACAAAAAAAGAGGCAAAAAAAAAGATTTGAAGACAGGGGGGGTATATTAATGAAAACAACATGTAATCTTTGAAAACCTAAAAGCTGTTCACGTCGAAATGACTGTTTTGACAAGCGACAAGTCCTCGTGTGACAATAATAGTTGTACTTGCCCATTTATTTTAAATTTATTCATTTAAAATAACAAAAGATTTGAGTAAATTGTCCGAAAGCTGCCTAATATGAATCTGTTCGTTATGATTTTGAGTTGCCGAACACATTCTTCGCGTCATTTGTTAAAGAGAAAACAACAGAGCGTTTTGGATCATTATGAGGGAAAGTAAGAGAGAGAGAGAGACAGAGAGAGAGACAGAGAGAGAGGGAGCGATAAAGAGAATAAAGGAAGAAAACTATTCTGTGCAGCAGCGACGTTCCATACAAATGCTTCCTTTCTAAATTATTTTAATTTTACGTGGAAAATGAACAGTCATCCGAAAAAAAACATCAGAAGCCTCGCCAAAACATCACGACGAATGAGGAAAATGGAGAAAAAAATTTTTTTTGTTTAATTTTTTGGCGTTAAAGTTCACCTCATGTGCGAGAACGAAGAAGGAATAGAGCTAGACAAGCAGCTAAGGAGAAGATAAAATATGCTTTTAAGGTCATTAACAGAATGGCGTTCACAGCCAATTTCAATCATGTTTTTTCAGCATCGAAGCATCGTGAAGGCGAGAGAATCAGCTTATTGTAAGCTTAAACCATTGAGATGTAGCTCGTAGAGACAATTCGTCATCTCATCTGCATAAATATCTTTTTCAAACTCGGCTATTGTCTCTCAAACATCTTCTGTTTCTCCCCCTCCTCTCATCCATTTTCTCCATTTTTCATCTGTATCTAATTAGAAATTACGAGAAAGAAAATCTTTTCAGTCTTTTTCCTTATTATAAGGATATAAAGGAAAACTCTTTCTTATATTCACTCCATAAAAGCTTTTCACATTTTCTTTTTTGTACAT